TCTCTTTTACATTTTTTCTGTGTTTCTTATTTAATAAGACGGTTGGTTACATCAACAAATCCCTATAGTTTAAAATAGTCTCAATATTGTTTCAAAGTCCAAAGTTTCTTCTGAGACTCATGGCAATCTCTTGACTGGAATCCCTTGTAAAATAAAAATAAAAAGCAGATTACATCTTTCCACCATACAATGACACAGTGGTAATATACATTACCACTCCAAAAGGGGAGAGGAGGGCGCATAGCAAGGAAATACTGGACCAAAGCACAACCTGAAAACCACCAGGGCAACTCCAAATTCTGTATTTCCATATCTGATATCCAAGTGCTCTTCAGATCTCCAACTGCTTTTAGCTTTGTTGAATGCAAAACAATGCTCTCTCTTGCTTTGGTTTCACACCCTGTTAGCAGCTCTCCTTGGAAGGTATCAAAAAACTCTGTCATCTCCATCTTGGGGTCTCCAGTGAAATCCAGGCTTTACTTTCACAGCTTCATACAATTGTCTCTTTGGCCTCCTTTTAGGGACACCCCAATCACATACCTAGTCTCAGAAACTTACCTTGGCTATGGAGGGAGATTCCAGAATCCCCCCTTTTTTTGTATTCTTGACTCTAAAGCCAGAACCATATGGCCAAAGCTACAAAGTTCTTCTGATTCCTGGGGCTGGAATATGGCCCTCTCATGCAATTACAGTTCCACCAGCTTTCTGTTTTCATTGGTTACCTCCACTGCCTATGATTGGCTATCCTGGAACTTGTTCTGTAGACCAGGTTGGCCCGTAACTCAGAAATCTCCTAGTCTATGTCTCCCAAGTGCTGTGATTAAAGGTGTGTACCACCATGTCTAATAATAAGCTTTGCTTTCCTTTCCTTTCATGAGTTGGAAGCTAAGTTGGGTGAGGTCTTTCCCTGTAGTCATTACTCTCTTTATTCCATTTAGGATCAGGCTTTTCTTTAAACTTTTTATCTCCTTTACCATTGAATTACAATTCCTGATTCTCCTTTTCTACTCAAACTGTACATTTTATAATTTTCTTTGCTCATCTTGCTCCTTTTCATTAAAGATACAAATAAGAGTAAACACTAATAAGCACATGACAAGAGTCAATACCAGGTTGTCTTGAAATCTTCTCTACCAAAATTGTTAATCAAACACTCTTCAATTCATCTTCAGGTAGATTTTTTTGCACAAGGACAAAACATAAACACACACACCCCCAGAATGCCACAAGAACAACTCTAGGTCTTTATTAATATTCTTTTCCTCAAAAACTTCTTTAGCTGGACCCCCACAGCTCAAATAGCCCACAGTACTACCTCCCATGCTCCTATGATGATGACCTTTATCATCCTTATAGTGTCCAGGCACTTTTCTAGTCAAAAGTCTCAACACTTTCCACATTCTTCCAAACAAAAGCATAGCCAGACCTATCACAGCAATACCCTACTCCTTGGTATGAACTTCTGCCTTAGTCAGTATTCTAGGGCTGTGAGAGATACCACAATTGTAACAACTGTTACAAAAGAAAGCATTTAATTGGGCCTTGCTTACACTCTGATTATCGTTTTGGTATGGGGCATGGTGGCATGCAGATAGACATGGTGCTGTAGAGATCTACACCTGGATCTGTAGCCAAAACAAGGGCCTGCATTTGCTTTTTTGAAAGCTCAAACCCTACTGCAGCCCCACAGTGACATACTTCCTCCAATAAATCTACACCTCTTAATCCTTTTCTAACAGTGCCACTCACTGATGATGATGAATTCAAATATATGAGCCTGTGAAGGCGATTCTTATTCAAACTACCACACAGATAAGAAAGTTAGAACAAAAGAATCTTGAAGCAGCTTGCCATGTTCCATCCACAGTAAGGAGGAAGCAGAGGGAGATAGATGAATGGTTGCCCTCAGGGTACTCTCTCTTTCTTATACAATCCAGGATCCCAGTCAAACATATGCTTCCATCCACACAGTCAACAGGTCTCCTGACCTCAAACTAATGAAGATAACCCCTGCAAAGGAATGGCCAAAGGCTTGCCTTTCACTTGATTCTACATCTCATTGTGTTAACAATTGAGATTTATGTATTACTCTACCCCTTGTCTACATAAAACACAAACACACATTTAAGAAAATATTTTAAGTTTCTTATGTGTTAGCGTGTGTGTGTGTGTGTGTGTGTGCGTGCACACACGCACACGCACACACACATATGTATGTATAAATGTATAAATGTATGTATGTATGTATGTATGTATGTATGTATGTATGTATGTATGTGTGCCCAAGCAAGAGTCAGAGGACAACCTTCAGAAGTAATTCCCTCTTTCTGTTTTGTGGGTACTGGGGATACAAATAAGGTTTTGGGTCTTGTTGGCAACCATGTTTCCTCCCAAAGAGATCATGCTAGCTCCAGCTACACAACATCAAATGATAATATTCCTTCTCTTGTCCCCAATCTTACATTCATCTCATATGCAAAATAGAATCTAAATTAAAAAGTTTACAATGTACTTCATAATTTGAAGCATTTAAACATCTCCAGTACATATCTAATGTGAGGCTCAAGAGAAACTCCTACCCATAAGCTCCTACAACCTAAAAACCAAGTGTCTATTTCTACCACACAGTGACACAGAACAAACATGCAATTCTAAATCAGAATAATTACAACACACTACAGAAGGATTAGCCCCAAATCCAGAAGGGCAAATATACAATCTGATACTTCCACTTTTGATCTGAGACTTCTGCAGCACTGGTGTTGACTTCAAAGGACTTAATGTGGCCCAACCCCTCTAGCTTCACCAGAAAGGCACATAATCTATATCCTAGGTATGCACTCTTCATTGCTTGTAGTTTTCTTCATATCCTGTATTTCCCACAATCATACAAGTGGCATCTCCAACACCTTGAGCAACATAATAATTTGGTTTTAATAACAAATTATTTATAACATCAATCTTGAGTGAACTGCATGATTCTAACACCTATTACTTGTTTCTTTCCAGCACATCAAACAATGATGTCACATAAATTCTAAGCAATACCTCCAAAGTTCCAACATTCCGAATGAACAGGATTGCTCTGCTACGCTAATTCCCCTCTACTCGTTAGGGAGGTTGAAATACTTTGCTGTATTCTTTGCCTTCACAAGATGTTTTCTGCTATAACCTCATTTACTCTTATGAAGTGCATATGTTGGACAAAGTTACTACTAGAATCATATGCAGAAGGTTTCTACATAATATGAATTCACTTGAGGTTAATTAAAATCAAGTTTAAGCTAAAAGTGTTCCACATTATTTGTATCTGTAGGTTTTTACAATGAAGGAAATTTCCTGATACAAAGGTGTGTCAAATAACCTACTGATGGAGTTTAGAGTAGTTTCTTTTAAATATGATTTTTTAGATTTGAGTTTCATTTGCTTTTGCAGTTGTCCTCTACACTAAGGTGTTCAATTGCCAATAAAAATCAGTAAATCTTTATAATATTCTTTGTAACAGTGGGGCTTTTTTTTTTTTCCCAGTGTGAATGCTCTAGTGAAAGTTAAGGTTGAACAAACATCAGAGCCTTGTCACATTGTCTCAAATATGAAGCTTCTGATGATAACTAAGGTATAAAGAAGAGTGGGAAACCTTGCCACATTCTTTATTCAGTTTGGTTTCTGTTGGTGTGACAAAAGTCATGGCACACAACTACATAGGAGAAAAAAATGGGTTATTTCAGCTCACAGACTGCACTTAATCATTCATGGAACCCAGGGCAGAACACAGCTGAACTCTAGAGCTGCAGGTGAAACAGAAACCATGGTGGAATGCTGCTTTCTGTTACCATCACTCTGGCTTGGTATCAGTCAGCAATCTGATACACCTGTGATCACCTCTCCAAGAGTGGCACATCCAAGGTGCACTGGCATCTCCCAGTGGTCTAGATTCATCTACATTAGTTAGTATTCATGACAATGCCTCACAGACATGCCCATGGGTCAATGAGGTCCAGTCATATACTCACTTGAGACACCATTACATAGTTGATCTGTGTGAAGGTTATCAGAAGCAAAATAGGGCATAAGTATTTGCAAAGCTTATCAATATATGTTCTTTGGTGTTGATAATGATTAGAAATATTATTGAAGACTATTCTGAATTATTTGGGCTTATCAAGTTTCACCCAATTTGGAGAACACTTCTGATATGATAGCCAGGTGAAGACCTTGCCACAATCTTAGCATTTATAGTGCACTTTACCAACATGAACACTATGATGTGTGTACAGGCATGAAGGACATCTAAACAACTGACCACAGATCATCCATTTGCAGAGGCTCATCTGTGATTTCCTTGGTGTGCAGTAAGGAATGAATGATCAATCAAACCTTCTCAATACTCTTCACATCTGTATGATTGCTGCTCTGTATAAGTCCTTTCCTTTTGTTTCAGGTTTGAGGAGCTTTTAAAGGCATTTTCACACTCTTCACAGTTGCGTTGTTTCTCTCTGGGATGAATTCTATGGAGGTTAGAGACGTTAACTGAAAGATAAAATTCACCGTATTCCTCATATGTGTATGACTGCCCTCTATTGTTAATTCTTTTGTGTGGGTAAGGGCTGAATGATTCCAAAGGCTTTACCGCATACCCCACACTTAGAGGGCTTCTACTCAGAACGATTTTTTTATATCTTTTATGGTCTGATGAAGTGTAAACATTTTATGAACATTTTACAATCTGCACTATTTCACTCCAGTATGAACTCCCATGTGTTGAGAAATATTGGACAGCTTATTTAAGGGTTAGCAACATTTTTCACACTTGTGGCATTAATGTCCAGTACGAATTATCAGGTATTTCAAAAGTTCTTACTGAGTACAAACGATCTAGGCACATTCTTCAGACTTGTGAAGTTTCTGTCACAAATGAATTTTTTGATGTTGCTTAAGACCAGAAGACTGGTAATAGCTTTTGCCACAATCTTCACACTTGTAACGTTTCTCTCCAGTATGAATTATCCGGTGTTTAGAACGTGCTGTAGAACTTCTGAAGTCTTTGCCACACTCTTTACACCTGTAGGGTTTCTCTCCAGAATGAATTCTTTGGTGATCCTTAAAGTTTTTAGTATTGTTGAGCACTTTGCCACATTCTTTACATTTGTAAGGGTTCTCCACATTGTGAGTAAATTTGTGCTGACATAAGTATGATTTTGTAGAGAAGGCTTTTCCACATTCTTCACACTTGTAGGGTTTCTCTCCAGAATGGGTTATCAAGTGAGTAGAAAGAATCCGGGAAGTCCTAAAAGCCTCACCACATACGTCGCACTTGTAGGGTTTCTCAACTGTATGAATTCTCTTGTGTTCAGAAAGTGATGATGGACAATGGAAGGCCAGACCACATACTTTACATTTGTGGTGTTTCTCTCCTGTATGAGTTCTCTTGTGTTTAGAAAGTAATGATGGACAATGGAAGGCCTTGCCACATAATTCACACTTGTAGAGTTTTTCTCCTGTATGAATTCTCTTATGTTTAGAAAGTAATGATGGACAACGGAAGGCCTTGGCACATACTTCACACTTGTAGGGTTTTTCTCCCGTATGAATTCTCTTGTGTACAGAAAGCACAGATGGGGCACGGAAAGCCTTGCCACAGACGTCACACTTGTAGGGCTTCATTCCTGTATGAATTCTCTTGTGTTTAGAAAGCAATGATGGGCAATGGAATTCCTTGCCACATACTTCACACCTGTAAGGTTTTTCTCCAGTATGAATTCTCTTGTGTACAGAAAGTAATGATGGGAAACGAAAGGCATTCCCACACACTTCACACTTGTATGGCTTCTCTCCTGTGTGAATTCTCTTATGCTTAGAAAGTATTGATGGATAATGGAAGGCCTTGCCACATACTTCACACGTGTATGGTTTCACACCTGTATGAATTTTCTTGTGTACTGAAAGTAGTGATGGAGCACGGAAGGCCTTGCCACATACGTCACACTTGTAGGGTTTTTCTCCAGTATGAATTACTTTGTGTTTAGAAAGTAATGATGGAACACGGAAGGCCTTGCCACATTCTTCACACTTGTAGGGTTTCTCTCCTGTGTGAATTCTCTTGTGTACAGAAAGTAATGATGGTGCATGGAAGGCCTTGTTACATGTTTCACACTTGTAGGGTTTTTCTCCTGTGTGAATCCTCTTGTGTTCAGAAAGTAAGGAAGGAAAACGGAAGGCCTTGTCACATACTTCACACTTGTAGGGTTTCTGTCCAGTATAACTTTTCTTGTGTTCAGAAAGTACTGATGAAAAATGAAAGGCCTTTCCACTTACTTGACATTTGAAGGGTTTTTCCCTAGTATGAATTCTCTTGTGTTTATTAAGTAATGATGGACCATGGAAGGCCTTAGCACATAATTCACATGTGTATGGTTTCTCTCCTGTATGAATTCTCTTGTGTTCCTTTAGTAATGATGGGACACGGAAGGCCTTATGACACTCTTCACACTTGTAGGGTTTCAATCTTAAATGAATTCTTTGATGCTTACTAAATTTTGATTTCCAATCAAAGGCTTTGCCACATTCTTTGCATGTGTAGCATTTTTTCCCTGGTGAGTAGAAGTTGAGAAATGAATGAAACCAGAGAAATATTCTTTATGTTTACAGTGCTTATTTTTTTAAAATAGTAACATTTATATATAGTTGCATTTTCCTATATAAATAATAAGCTACATTCAACTTTCTATACCTGTATTTAACAAAGCCTAATTTAAAACACATGATTATTGGAAATCATATAACCTTCCATTGAAGGAAGAAGATCATGACAACATCTAACATGAAAACAAAGGAATATTAACGAAAGTCAATCATGTAAGAAAAGCATAACATCAACAATTAAGAACATCCTTAACAAAATTATGCTACTAGAAATTATCCCCCTAAACAAATATAGAAATTTTATAACTACATAAAAACAAAGTATAAAAGTAGTCAAACTTCAAAAACACCTGAATACAAAATATATGTGTATACACACACACACACACACACACACACACACACACACACACACACAGATATATATTAGAGAGAGAGTTGGTTTTTGAAGTTATCAAAGTTGGGCTACAGAAGAAGACAACTGTCCATAATAACATTAAATAATACACTTCAAGATTCAAGACAGGAAATTTTATGCCTATCTTAGGAAAAAATAAATAAATACCCATGTTAAAGTTTCCTTAGAAATAACAGAGTTTGGCTGTCACTGTAAACACAAACTAACCTCACTGTAGGGAAAAATGAAGCTCATGAGACTCAGATCATCCTAAACATCTAACAGATAGACCCCTTTGACAGAAGGAGATCCTTAAAAAATTATTTCCACCAGAACACTATGTATTAATGCTCAAGAGAAAGTCTGGCTTTCTGTTGGATCTCTGAACGTCCACTCTGTCCTCTGTCCCCCTCATTCCTACACACCTGCTTGCATGACATCTGCTGCTTGTCTCCTCACACCATAAGGCTCTTGTCTTTGCTCCAGAAATGTAACCAGGTATGGCTTACAGGAAGCAAGACCTATTTTTGGAAAAGAGAACAACATTGTAAATGTGTTCTTCTGGGAAATAACATGTCCTCCCTGAGAGTGTGTGTATACGGAATAAGAAGATACAATAAGGATCATAGAGGATTAGCTCTTCATGTGTTACATGACAGCCACATTGGAATGCTTAGGAAGAATTTAGGATTTGCAGATCCTGAGTTTCATGTCCCTTAGTTACAAGGAAAAATAATAAAACTAAAGTGTGTGACAGTCTCTTTAATGTGTACATGCTCTGCTCATACTACTTACTTTCTAATATTAGCACTAATATAAAGGATAATTTAAAAGATGAAGGGTTGTTATGAATACAGGAAGAAATGAAATAGTTCTGAGGTATATGAATAATCTTCATTATCCTTAAAAGTAGCACTATGAACTTCATTGTTGGAATAACAAGCTCCAAATGAAATATTGTACAAAGGGAGGAAGTTTCACACTGAAGACATCATGGAAATGATCCTCACCCAGGAACACAAGGTTGTTGTAATTCTCCAACATCACATCTCTGTACAATTTCCATTGAGCAGGGCCCAGGCAATCCCACTCCTCTGCAGAGAAATAAATAACCACATCCCAGAATGACAGTATATCCTGAAATAAAGTAAAAAGAATAAGTACCACACACTGTGTTGAGTAAAATTGTCAGTAAGAGTATAAATAACAAAAGGCATCATATACTTCTGGATACAGGCCCAGAGTGAGAGGAGAGATAGAAGTATTTTAGATATAAGTAGAGTAATTACCCTAAAATACTTCTGATGTACTATGATGATGTTACATAGGACTCATCATTAAGGAAATTGAATGGCAGAAGAGCCTAGAAACTCCTAGGAATATTACACTTTTAAGAATCATAAAATAGTGAGTGCATCTATAAAACAATATGTTGGGGCTGGAGAGATAGCTCAGCAGTTACAAGAACTGGCTGCTCTTCCAAAGGACCTGGCTTTGATTCCAACATGGCTGCTCACAACTGTCTGTAATTCCAGTTCCAAAGGATCAAACAATGTCTTACAGATGTATATAGCAAAACAACTAAGCTGGAGAGATGGCTCAGTGGTTAAGAGCACTGACTGCTCTTCCAGAGGTCCTGAGTTCAATTCAGAGCAACCACATGGTGGCTCAAAATCACCTGTAATGAGATCTGGCGCCCTCTTCTGGCCTTGCTAGGACACATGCAGACAGAATGATGTATATATAATAAATCTTAAAAAAACAACAAAACAAAAAACCATACAGATATACCTCAGCTAGGGTTTTTATTTCAGCAATGAAACCCCATGACTAAAAATCAAGTTGGGCAAGAAAGGGCTTATTGGGTTTACACTTCCATAGCACTATTCATCATCAAAGGTATTGAGGACAGGAACTCAAACAGTACAGGAACCAGGAGGCAGGAGCTGATACAGAGGCCATGGAGGCATTCTGATTACTGGATTGCTCCAACTCTTTCTTTCTCTCTTTTTCTTTCTTTCTTTCTTTCTTTCTTTCTTTCTTTCTTTCTTTCTTTCTTTCTTTCTTTCTTTCTTTCTTTCTTTCTTTCTTTCTTTTCTCTCCTTCTTTCCTTCCCTCCCTCCCTCTTTCTTTCTTTCTTTCTTTTTTATAAATCAGGGCCACCAGCTCAAGGTTGGCACCTCCGAAAATAGGCTGTGTCATGCTCTACCAATCACTAATTAAGAAAATGCTCTACAGGCTGGCCCATGTCCTGATTAAATAGGAAGCCTGAAGTGGTTTGAGAGCAAATGGCCTTGTTGGAGTAAGTGTGTTCTTGTTGGAGGAAATGTGTTACTGTCGACAAGGACTTTGAGGTCTCATCCACACTGAAGCCATACCCAGTGAGACAGACCACTTCCTGTTGTCTGCATAAGATGTAGGACTCTCAGGTACTTCTCCACCACCATGTTGCACCATCAATGATAATGGACTAACCTCTGAAACTGTAAGCCACCCCAATTAAATATTTTCCTTTATAAAAGTTGCTGTGGTTGTGGTGTCTCTTCACAGCAACAGAAACCCCAACTAAGACTGAAGTTGGTACCAGCGACTGGGGTATTGCTGAGATAGCCTGACCATGCTATTGTTTGAGGATATATGGACCTTGGGACTGTGGATTAGAGAAACCGTTGAATGCTTTAAGTTCTGCTTACTGGCCATATTAGTAAGAATATGGAAGACAGTCATGCTGAGTGTGATCAGATGAACTGTGGGGGCCTAGCTCAAGAAGATTCAGGGGAGAAGAATTTTAGTATGTTGCCTAGAGATCATTCTTGTGATATTTTGGTGAAGAAAGTGGCTACATTTTGTCCTTGTTCACCTAGGGCTAAAGTGAAGAGATTTGGACTAATATCTCTGGCAGAGGAAATCTCTAAACAGCCTATTATCGACTCTTTCATGTGTTTTTTAATGTTCACGCTTATACAAATTTAGAAAGAAAAGTAGCAAGCTGAGGAGAAAAGGAGCACCAGGGAGAGGAATACTGCTAAGCCCTGTGTTCAAGGAGATAAACAGATTAAGAAATGGACTAAATGGAGTAATGACCTCAGGGCAAGTTTGCACCTAGCTAAATTTCCAGAAACTAGTTTCCCAGCTAGTTTGTCTTTAAGTCTTTAAAGAGAGACTAAAGTAATATAAGAAATTTAAGCTATGTAAGGACAGGAAATATTATAACACAGGGAGTTTGGACCTTATATGGTGCCTTGTTAATTTTGAATTTATAAAATTCTGATAAATGAATTGCAGTAGCTGAGTGACATTGGATAGCAGAAATTGCTAAGTTAAAACAACCTATATATTTTAGGAATGTCTTAACTTCAAAATAGAAGACAGAAAATATGTTGCACTGGAGGAGAGGTTATATCTTTGTTTCCACAGGAAATAAGTAATGGTTCTTGGCAAAAATTCATGAAGATCAGATTTGATTGGGGGAGACCTCCTGAAGACCTTGGTTACAGACATGAAGAGAAAAAAAAAAAACAAGAAAAACTACAAGACAGGTGATGTACATGCCAATTCCCTCTACATGGGAACAGCTCTGAGACTGGATAAGACATGATAAATTTTATTGGCTACAGAGTCATAGAGACTTATTACTAGACGCCATCCTTTCATGTGGCATGGATAGAGGTTTGCTTATATAATCCAAACAGACTTAGAAAGTTAACAGATGCCTTTTATCTGCTCAGAGAACAAAAAAAAAATCTTTAGATGACTTGTGCACACCATACATTCCATACTTGTGTTAATATACACTCACACATATTTATGTACATATACAAACATGTGTGTGTGTGATAAGTGTGTGTAACCTTTAAGAGTTCATGTGTTTTCAGAAGAAAAAGGACCAGACACCAATGAAGACAAGTAGTCCAGGTGTTCCAGTCTCTTAGAATACTTCTGTTGCAGTTTCCTCAAAATTCTACATCCAGAACAGTTTCAATGCTGCTGGCTGAGATGGTCTGGCCTCAAAGACTACTCCAACCAAGACTTCAGATAAGCTCTACACTTTCCCCTCACAGAGAATAAACATGAAATAATACAGCTAGCTCTCCTAGGATGTGACCATTATCCCAATTTTCTCACTGTTGTCTAGAGATGCTGTTGCTCCCAGACAATAGGAAGCATCCTAGAGAACACAATACCCACATTCCCAAGAGGTGGGGTGGGTAATCTTTGGTCATTTGGTGGGTTATGGATGTGTGTCATCATATAGGGTGGTTGGTAACAAGTTGCTACTGGTCATTGTCAGGAAAAACAAACAAACAAAGGAGCTTAGATTCTGGGATATGTTTCTGAAGGGAAAAGTGGGGGATTTGGTATAGAAATGAAGGGATAAAAGGGTAGATTGTTGAGTCTACTTTTGAACAACCACTAATTTCAAATATTTTACATTGGTATTTTTGTATATTGATACCAATTTAAGGTTACTTTTGTTATACTGTATATAAGTTTTTATTTTTGTTTAAGGTATTGTACCCATACAGCTCACTCAAAAATGTAATGTAAAGTTCCAGTCTATAGGCAGAAGTTTCTGTCCCCCCAACAACTCCCAAATACCCAGCAGTCGCTTCCCAAATTATTGACTTGGAGGCTTAATATTAATTATAAATGCTCAGGCTTATTACTAACTAGCTGGTATGCTTAAATTAACCCATAATTCTTATCTACGTTTAGCCACATGGCTTGGTAGCTTTTCTCAATGTGGCATTCTCATCTTACTTCCTCTGCATCTGGCTAGCTACTCCTGACTCTGCCCTTTCTCTTCCCAGAATTCTCCGAGTCTGGAAGCCCCACCTATACTTCCTGCCTGGCTACTGGCCAATCAGCATTTTATTAAACCAATTCCAGTGACAAATCTTTACAGTGTACAAGAGGATTATTCCACAGCACTAGTCCTTGAAAGCTATTTAGGATAATAAAGATATACAGGTTAGTAGTTAGTCACCTATAACAATCATACTTATAGTCATGTTAGGTATGTTTTCAAGGTCAAAGAGAGATATATTTCCAATAAACAAATGGTCTTCAAACACTTCAAACACCTACAGAATATGCCATTTAAAATGTTTTAATAACCTAAGGCTTTTCGTGACAGTGAGGCATGTCTACTCCTGACAGCACAAATTTACTTAAAAAGGGAGGATAGGCATCCTCTATATGTATCCTCCATACATACTCTATGTGGAGTTTGCTTTCAATAGGGCAAAGCTAGTCATTTGGGCAAGAAACTGCCCTTGCCTTGAGTGTTGACAGTATGCTGTCCAAATTGTACAAGGATACAGAAAAGGAGGTTGCCAAACTTTGACAAGACAAGGTGAAACATTCCTTCAAAAATTCCTATTTTGCAAAAAGTCTATCAGATATCCTAGGCTTGTAGGCTGAAGATGGATGCCCTAACATTGCAGAGGAACCTTGGATTACTGCCCAGGAAGCCAGATGTCTCTGTTGTTTCTATAACTTTGGAAGTTGCTTTCTCTACACTTCTTGTTTAATTGGGTAATATTATATCCTTCTCAGTTCTCTGATGGACATTGAAAACTAGATAGTTATACAGATCTTTTTTATCAAATTAAGAAGAAAACTTACATAAAAGGCATTAAGTTTATAAGGTTGAGAAACATCAAAGAGTAAGTTTTTATCTAAGACAATGTTTTTAGGTCTAAAAAGATATTCTAGGTTGGTAACACAAGTTATGATAAAAAGTGAATTAGGTACAAAACTTTGAACTCACCAAGACAGGATAGATAATGGAGTATTTTTTTTCCAATTTTTTCATTCTTACCTGCTAATTGTTCTTATTGTATATAGATTTACTGTGTTAGAGTTAAAAATTTTTCCCTTTTATTTATACAAAAAGGGGGAAATGTTGTAGGATGTTTGTACACTGTTTGAAGATATATAATAAAGAGATGAACAGCCAATAGCTTGGCAGGAGATTTAGATGGGACTTCTAGGCAGAGAGAGAAGAGGAAGATGAATCCAGGTGTGCAAGACACATTAAGAGACACAGAGAGGAAACAGGAGGTGGGAGATGGAAGAGAAGTAATGCCATGTGATAGAAGGTTAAGATAAATGAATCAATTTAAGTTATAAGA